CTTGTCTTATCCCTGTATGGGCCCATCCTCCTTTGCCAGGTTTTTGCTTTCTGACAGCTAGGATGTGGTTCCTAACCTGCAGGAGTTTCCAGAAGCAGCCAAAAAGGCTTCAGGGTTTCTGCCCCCACCCTTTTGAACATCCAGCCTAACGAAGAGTTCTGGAAATCTCAAAGGCTTACATACTGCTCTGTGTTGCTGTAGCTGGTCTGAATATATGTGTAGCATGTCTTCATCTCAAGGATTGTACTTAAATTCTAGTTGTGGTAAGAGAATAGCTGTGAACTGTAAAGTACAAATGTGATAACCACTTGAGGATTCAGAAATTAAAATGACTTATCAGCATTGTGTTCTCAGTAAGGTAAATGTGAAAGCCAGGACTGGAAGAGATACACTGAAGACCCTTGAGAACAGAATCTCAGTGCTGTGCTGGAACACCAGTCATCCTAAAAATACTTGATCGAAGATTAAAGTTCTGCCAAGCAAATAAGGAATTATGTTCATCTTACTTAACAACATTAATTAGTGCTCTAATTCAAAATCCTTCCACTACTTAAAAATACTTGTGTAAATCTTCCTGTAAAACCTTGATGTTTTAAGAGTGTAAGTCAGTCTGACAAGATCTGAAGCTGAGTTTTCTTGCTGGTGAAGCTCATTGAGCTAGGCTCATTCTTTCACAGGGCTACTGTGATGATAACATAGGAGAAGACCAGTAACAAACTGCAGTATACTATGTCAGTCAGACTGTTGGCCTATCAAGGTGAGATCTGTCCACTCTTGACTGCTCTGCAAGGTTCACAGGTCTTGCTACCTGATAGCATGGATTGAGAACCTGCAACCTTCTGCGTCCAAAGCATATGCTCTACTAGTGAACTATGCCTCCTGGATTGTGGATTGTGGAAGGGCATTCTGAAGGATGTATGAAAAAGCATGTGTTTTAGTGGAGCCCCCCAGCCCCCCCCCCCCCCCGTTTTCTACATAATTGCAGATGCCTCAAAAAACAGCATACAGCAAGGTTCAAATTGGGGACTATGACAGGAAAAAGACTGGTGGGGGGATTACATTTGAACAAGCTACAATTGTAGAGGGGAAATAACATACAACACAGCCCCAGACTTGTGCAGGAACAAAAGAGGAAAGAACTCTTGAGGCCAGATTGCCACCTTAAACCTGATTTTAATATGAGGCTGGCTGGCTGATCTTCCTGACCTTGGATGAACTGAGCATCTTGTTAAAACCAGTGGTAGATACGCGGTATTTGCTAGGCATGCAGCACTAGCACACCAGCGCAATAAAAATGGAGGAATCCGCAATGTGCTAAGGTTGCATACGAAGCGGCTGAAAGATCAATTTAAATGAGACGCAACATGCCTGAAAAGTCACACAAACACCACCTACTTGCCACTATCATTTGTGAGTCCGGCTTGGCTCACACACGCAGAATGAGGTGATGGGATGCAGTGTGCCATTAAAGGGCCACGAATGGGAGGTTCTTTCCAGCTCGGAATGTTCCTTCGCATAAAAATCTCCATGCATACAGAAAACTGGCACAGCATGTACTTTTTCGCTTTACTTGTGATAGTTTTCTAGTTGCAGGGACCTCCTAAATACCATCCTTCACTTGCAGTGTGAAGTAGTACAGCCCATTCTTTCAGTTCAGCCAGCCCCAGGTTTTTTTGCACACTAGGAAGCTGTCGCAAATTATCACTGCAATACTTTGGCCAGTTAGCAGGGTCGCTGTAATTCAAGCCAGGCACAATTCCAATGTCTTTTGTAGTCATTGCAGTACTCTCAGTTTCCTCAAAATCCTCTGTTTCCTCTGTGTGTTCCACTGGAATATCTCCAAATTGTGAGACTTTTTCCTCAGAAGTAATACCACTTGTCGTAGGAGCAACATCACTTGTCGTGGGAGCTTCCTCTGTGGTAGTTTCACCAAGGGTATCATCATATTCTTATTCTTTACTTGTTTTTTCTGTGCAAAGGTATTTCCGGAGGAACACCTCTTGCTTGGCTTGCTCCTTGGCTCTTTCTGCCTTTCGTTTGCGGAACTGAGCTCCGGATGGCTTTTTTAAAATCAGCCATAACTCCCTAGACAAATGACCAAATTTATAAAATTACTTTAAGATCAGGAACGATGAAAACTGGTGTGTGCTTCTAAACCCTTGCTTCTAAATGGTGGCTGACCCTTGACTTTGAAAGTACTGGAAGCAGAGACTCAGTATAGTGATTTCAGCAAGCATTTATTCATTACATTGGGAACTGAAGATAAAACTGGCCAGCCGCAGTCTGGTTTATATACATGAACACACCACACCCAAACCACACCCAGCACACACCCCAAGCCAAGTGATAGGTTCTATTTACACGCGACAGACCTTGTTGGTCTACTCTTGGATCTGGGCGAACCCATTGGTGCGCCTAGGATCCGAAGTGGCTATTGTTCGCTAGTGCGAATGTCCGTGGCTGTTTTCAACCGCATGGCCAGACCCACGTGGCCGAGGCCATCTCTGCTCAATACATTACAATTTCTAAACACACAAAAGGATCAACCTGACACTTAACACTGTCTGCATAGCTTCTCGTTTCAACATCAAACAAAGGTCATGTTGGAAACAGATCAACTTTATGTTGCATTATGATATGCCAAAACTAAACACAAGTCCATATCTATCTGTAATGACTCACTTAAAATGGTTACCAGCTACATGAAAAATCCTCCCTTCTGTTTGGTGAAACCACTTCTTGCTTGC